AGTTTGCTTCTTCAGAGCCATTTGATCTTTAACATTAATTGTTTTAAATGTCATGTTATTCCTTTAAACTTTAGATGTTTTATTATTTGTATCCATTTCATATTGCTTGTTTGTGTCATTTGTGCCTGTTATAAAAGCTATATGGCATTTTTAAATACTTCAAACTTAAAATAAATGATTACCATATCTAAGCTTCATTCCCACATTCAACAGACCACTTAAGCAAATAGTAACCTTTAACATTAAAGTAGATGTTCGGAACATTTATTTTTATCTGATGGCACCATCTAGTGGCTGACAAGCGAGTCACACCAAAGCGCTGTTTAATTTTCGTAGTTAGTCAAAAGCAACGCCTCTCGTTCATGAATGTGCACCTTTGGCCGACAAAACAGAGGTAAAACACATTTTTACAATCTTTATGCTCATGTTTTGTTGTGTTTTCATATATTTATATTTTAAAGACTACTTGTCGATGAGAAAGTTCGCCAAATCTGCATCAACCGAGGTGCATCCTTTGACGCTCAAGCACACTGTGATTGACATCTGTATGTAAGCGGTAGTCTTAACGCTATTGGTTAGTGCCGACTGGTGCTCAGTTCATTTAGCGTGGAAATCTATTGGACAGGGGTGGGCTTAGCAAAAACTAAACAAATATTTCCTACAATATATCACAGTACATGATAAAACAATCACTTTTATGGCTTTCTGAAAAATCATAATTCCTGAAAAGGGAAAACTCTGGATAGCAGCGTTAATTTAAAGTCGAACCCTAACCCAATCTCAATAAAAAATAAAAAATAATCAAACAATAGTCAATGTGCACTAATGAGGTAAATGAATAAAGTATAGTTAAAAAAATAAACGGTCTAATGCAAAGTCCAAATTAAAGGCACATTCACTGAAAAAAATTTCATCAGAAGATTTCTATACTTATAGAATGAATGTTTTTTGTTTTATTGTTTGTTTTTTCTACCTATAAATGGGCTATTCTAAATAGATATCTCATTGAAATATAAATAAAATTAAGATAATGCCTCTTTGATGTTTAGCTGGTTCTTCAGTTATAATTACATTAGATGAGATAAAATAACACAAGTTGTTACTAAAGGTTTTTATCCGCATTCCCATAAATGTTGGTGGAGAATAAATCTAATAATCAAGATTAAACATGGAGACGACCTTTAGCCATCAGCTGAAATGTGTATGTTTATGAATAAACAAGCAGTGATGACAAGCAATGAGGAAAATTAAACTTAAGGGTCAAAAAAACGTTTGCAAACGAGAGGTGTCACCCTAAAATAGGGACATTCTGTCAGAGCAATCAAGGTAAATTATGTCATCAATCTTTGACAATTGTAAATATGCAACAGAGAAAATAAACCACCAGCAATCCCCTGCTGATGGATGTACATCCTGGAGTTTACTGTTTTCAGCAGTGTCACTGACCATATTCATTCAAGATTACACAGTTGCTTGGCAGCAAACATACCTTGTCTTTGATCAGCCACATTAAGGTAGGGGTAAATGCCCTGCTGGATTTGAGAGGGGTATCTGGAAAATGCAACTGCCACACTGTTTACCCAGTAGGTATGTAGACTCGGCCTAATCTGAACACTGATTTCTTTTTGTCAGTGGTAAAGAAGCAGATACCTTTGAATCAGTAAGCTGCCTGGTCTAAAGAGATACAAATAAAGGCCCGATCTTATGTTTCAAAAGATTACATTTTGAATGATTTAGTACTTAGTCTTAAACAGGTAAAAAAGTCTGGCGTTATACGTACTTCTTCTAGGACAAAAAGATAAAAAAAAATTTTAATGATTGTGAATTTAGACTCCTATGTAGGAAAACTGTGACTATTTGACTTTTGTTTCGGGCTTTTTTGTTTGTTTGTTTGTTTGTTTGCTTGTTTGTTTGTTTTCCAAATGAATCAGTAGAGAACTGGAGTGAACTGGGACAAAAATTCAGCCCTGGCATTTCTCGTTCCCACCGGCTGTCAGGGGGGTGGCGCTCAAAGTTTTACATCCCTCCTGCCGTCAGTGCAGTGGGTGGGAGGCTGCATTTGGCAGACGGCCTGCCGGGACATTCCCGGTATGCCAGATGGCCAATCCACCCTTGGTAGAGAATGAGGGACAGTGCCACTGATTGGATTATTGTATGTGTTACTATGAACTTTTGCATAAAATAATCTCTTTTTTGTTTTGTTTTTCCAAGGATATATGGATAGGAAAGAGGATGTGGTTATTTGTGATATTGCTGTCATTTTTTGCGAAATTATTCCAATAACGACAAATTATATCAATAATGAAGTTTTTAGTGAAGTTATTAGAAGTTATTGAAATCATTTTTTTCTAGTCATTTTGATGTATTTCAATAAACAAAACATAAATGTATCAATTATATAATTTGTAACTTTTCAGGTGTAAATGTGTGACTTGTGCATGTTTGTAAAAAATGATTATTGCGTAAAATAAAAAAATTTAACCTGGATGGATTCACTGTACTTATGGTTGCTCATGGAGTAAACTTTAGTCACATTCCAGGTTCTTGATTTATTCTGATGGTCAAAACATTCACTGACATCATCTATCTCCGGAATGCTACATCCAAAATAATAAAATACCAGAGAGCTTTCTATCTTTTCTTTCCCTCTTGTCATCTCTTTATTGCTTTTACTCTTTTTTTTCCCATGTTGTGAAATCGGGGGGTGGGGGGTGGGGGGGGGTGGGGGGGGGGGGGGGGGTTGGTTAAATCCCTTTAATTGTAAGTTCTCAAAGTGGATTGAAACAAAAGGGTACACTAGTTGAACAGAGTCAGCCATTCCATCTTACATTTATCACTGGTGTTAATTTTGGGATGTGACTCAACTTGTTTCATTAAATACATAAACACAGAGAAAAAAGACATTTCATTCAGTACGACTAGTATAACCCTATAGGTTTACAACTTTTTTATTTGCTCCTAATGGAGCTAATTAAGAATGCAGGAGGAGTTTGGACATCCATAACCTTGGCTTTAGTAAGTAAGTAAAGTTTATTTATACAGCACTTTTCATAGAAAGAAAAGGCACAAAGTGCTTCACAAAGAAAAAAAAACCAAAAGATCATGAAGTCAAGAAACAACAAAATATTATTTAAAAAAGAAAAATAATTAAAAATAGAATGGTCTGTAAGGATGAAGAAAACACAAAGGAATGAACTAAAAGCAGTTTTAAATGAAAGAAAAAATAAAATATCTTCAGTTGCTTTTTAAAGATGCCCAGACTGTCAATACTACATAAAACTAAAGGAATTTCATTTCAAAGTTGGGGTGCAACAGCCTGGAAAGAGCAGTTCTGGTTTGTGGACCTGATTACTTAATGGGCCATTCCCATGTGTACCGGGTCGGCCCGGGCTGGGTAGCCCCAGTCGGCCCCAGCCTGGCCCGGTTGATTCCACACATCCTTGCCTTAAGCCCATGTGGGCTGATTCTACCCACCAATCAGAGGCTTGCTCTAATGGAAGGCCTGAAGCAGACCCCCTCGAGAAGAGGGCTGAGAATGAGCCTTGGTTGGCCCGGAAAAATACCAGGCCACCCAGATATGTAAACAACCTACGCTACCCGGCCCGGGCCGACCCGGTACAGATGGGAATGGCCCATAAGTTGGAGCACAGGGCCTTAACAGGTAAGGGAATATAAGGAGGAGCTTGACCATGTAGAGCCCTGAAGGTTATAGTCAGAATTCTAAACTGAATACCAAAATTAAAGGGTAACCAGTGCATGGACATCAGAATAGGAGTGATGTGAGTTTTTCTGTTTTCCCCAGTTAGGAGCTTCACCTACAACTGAAGGCAGTCAAGGGCTTTTTTGTTACAACATGTGAAAAGTGTGCTACAGTAATCTAGACAGGGGAGATTAAGGCATAGATAACGATTTTAAGTTCATGTTATGACACCACAATTCTGATGTGGCAGAAAATCATCAAAATATAATATGTTACTATCAAGACACTTTATTACCAGCAAAAAAAATCCCCCACAAAAAATACAGTATATACTGTTCTTGAATTATAAATATCAAAGCAAATCTTAGCGAATCCTAATTTTGGTCCGACATTTTGTTATACTCCAATGTAATAGTCACATGTATATATTGTAAGGTTTATACTAATAATAGTGAAATGAATCTAGTCTGCGAATAATGTTTGAAAACGTAAGCTCTTTGAAACTCTGCCACAGTGTTGGAATGTGTTTCAGGGCAACCTCCTATACACAAAGCACTTTCTGTGAAAAGGTCAAATCATTCATTCGTGCAGTTCTCTTTCCTTCCTTCTTCAACCTTTTCTTACCATCCCCTTGTGCCTCACCATCCAAACTTGCTTCTTATGTTTATAAGTTGGCCCATGTATCATAAGCTAAAACTTAAGCTTCCCTTTACCTCATGTAGAAATAGCTGGAAATCTTAACATTTGGAGCACTTTTAAACTATTTTGACAGGTTCCTTTTTTTCCACCACCCCCATGAGCACTGGAAACTGGTGTTGTGTGCGTCTGTGTCTGAATGCGTCGCTCGCTCTTCCTGTAAGCTGACAAGAAGAATATTTCACAGCTTATGAAGCACTGTTTTGTGAGACACCAGTGTGCTTAGTGAGATGTCATTGTAACTGTATCATGCATGTGTCCATAAAGGAAAGAAATCCCATTTGCCTTACAATCCTATAATGTAAATGTGTAGGGGCTGCTGCCAGTAAAAAGTCATGTTTAATTTAGCCTCGGGCTTGCCGCTGGCAATATGGCTCCCAAAGGACCAGGTTGAGTTAAAAAGCACAAACCCAGAGTCAAATGGCACAATTTGTGACCAGGAAAAATCTACCAAATGAAGAAATACTCCAGTGACAGGTTTGTGCTGTGTACTACTGTTCCTCCTGCTTCTCTTGTGATCATACATTGTTCAGTCAGTAGAGTCAATAGCTTAACATACTATCAGACTTTTTTGTACTTAATTCTGTTTTTGTTTCTCTACCAGGTGAGGTTCTGAGCTTGATGGATGACTTGTTTTCTGGTTTGAGTTCATCTTGCGTTGTTGCTGGGAAACGAAGTGGAGACCATCCCCAAACTGTGGTGTATTCAGTTGTCTTCAAGTGCTTGGAACCTGACAGCCTCTACAAGTAAGCCTATGGACACCCTTATGCTTTTGTTGTGTTACTTAGATATGCTGAACTGAAATGATGTTCATTATTTTCCCCTATACATAAAAAAAAAGTGTTTAAGCAAAATATCAATGCTTATTTGTGTGTTCTTTTCCAGTTTACAGCAGGAGAATAATTGTTGGAAACTAGAAGGGTTTGAGACACATTCCAGATGTTTATGATAACCGTGTGGCACATTTTAGAATACTTTAGAGAAGAAAAGAATGGAATAGAATAGACTTTATTAATTCCACAGTGGGGAAATGCACTCGTTAAGGCAGCACATACACTTAAAGAAAAGGAAAAAATTATATACGTAAATGCAATAGGCTATTAGTGTAACCTTCAGCAATTAAAATAATTAACAAAAATAGGAAATTCAGTTTCCATGAAGAAACAGCATAACAGACACAAACATACAAATATACATCCAGGTAGGTAAGTATTAAAAGCACTGTTAGCATGAAAGGGATAATGCCAGTACCAGTTAAACTGGAGTTTTACAATCTTCCTTCAGTGGGAATGATTAACCGACAGTAGCATTCTGTTTTACATCTTGAAAATCTGCATCTGCCATGAAAAAGCTTTTCCAGCATGTTCTAAATTACAATGGTGTAAAATTATTAGACATTTCAGAAGCTCTCCCAAAATTGACCATTTGCAACCTGGTGAGATATTGGCTGTAATTTTTGTACCTTCAAATCCTCAGCTTTCCAAGCATGCTTGTAACTTTTTTATGGATGTTTATTGAGGGACGGTTAACAGAAAACACAGTTTTAAGCTTATACATTTGAGCTATTTTCTCTTTTCAGACTCAAGCTCCTAGTCAGTTGCATACCAAGGATAAATACTTTTTTCAGTGACCATAAGTGGCAATACGATACTTTAACATTTTTGGAAACAATTTTTTTTTCAGGATTTCTATAGGATTTAGTGTAAGTCATAGGAAATAATATTTCAGTCTCAGACATAGCAATGGTTCTATTCAACAACAGATCATAGACCTAAGTGGGGTCAAGTTTGTTGATTCAGATGGAAAATCATGCATTCCATTGATGGTAGCTCCCCAGAAAATGTCTAACTCTTTAGAAGTGTTTTAACATAGCGAATGAACCTTGAAGGTGTCATGAGAGGGGCATGCCTGTGAGAGGGATGAAGAAGGTGGTAACTTTATTTTGCTAAATAAAATTTAAAAAAAGGTTTTCTCTATTCATCAGAAGATGAAGCAATCAGCCATACAAGAAGAGATTTGAGTTTGAAACTTCTGATTAGAGTGTAATTTAATGTAGAATTTGATGTGGTTTTCAGAATGATTTAAACTCAACTGAATTAAACCATTTAAGAATCTCTATTAAACATCATGACCATGTTTGAATGTACCCAAACTACATTAAGAACATATCAACAGTATTATGTCCTTTCCCTGGCTGCCTAAACTTTGTTACTATAGGAAGATATTTTATTTCAGAAGAGTGCATTTTGTTACCTTCTACTGACCAACAGCTGGGTTGAGTTAAGCAGGAAAGCATACTTAGTCAGAACGTGGTAGATGCTTCCGTTCTCTTAAGTTATCTTTGGTCTGGGGTCTTAGTGAATACAGAAGGGTCCTTGTTAAGGGACAGGGTTTCCTAAAGTAAAAAAAAATGTTTTAATCACAGCAGGTAATGTTGCACTAAATTGTCACAGTGCTTTTACAACATTCCTAAGTTTTATCTCATCCATTTACAACATTTAGTTTATATGTAGTGTTTAGCTTTTGTTCCTCATGCCTATCATGGATTTCTTTTGTGAAAAAGGAAAAAGCAGACATAGAATAGAATAGAATAGAATAGAATATAAATAAAAATAAATGTTTCCAAGAAGAAATAGCGTAAAGGACACAGACATACAAACGTGCAACAGGGTATTGCACATGTACTAAATATAGCTTTGATGCTATTGTGTAACAGGATAATGCCAGCACCAGTTAAACTGTGGCATTATACGCTCTTACCTCAGAGGGGATGAGTGATCTATGGTAGCATTCTGATTTAAATGATAAATGACCTGCACTTGTATAGCGCCTCTCAGAGTAAGGACTCCAAAGCGCTTTACACTACAGTGTATCACTCATCCATTCACACACACATTCACACGCTGATGGTGATGAGCTACAATGTAACCACAGCTGCCCTGGGGCGCACTGACAGAGGCGAGGCTGCCGCGCACAGGTGCCACCGGTCCCTCCGACCACCACCAGCTGGCAAGGTGGGTTAAGTGTCTTGCCCAAGGACACAACAGCAGAATTCTCTGTGACAGCTGTGAGGTGTAAAAAATAAATAGAAAGGGTGAGAGCATTGTACCCTGTGGAGCTCCAGTACTGCACACAACCACCTCAGACATGCAGTTACGCAGCATCACGTATTGTAGCCTGTTGTTGAGGTTGTTGATGGTCTATGCAGTCAGACGACAATCTACTTCTGCACCCCTCTTCTGCTGCAGTAAAGACAGCTGGATGGTGTTGTAATAAATAAAACAATGCTCTCTAAATAAACACCATTAACCTCCAGAAGTCTCAATGACTCAGAATGCCACAGCCGAGATATGTTATCTACTTTGCTGTTTAAACTGACGGAGCTGAACTGATATTTAATGATATTTCTATCAGAATGGTATAAACTCATTAACAAAGGTGAAGTTTGATCTTCAGTTGGGCCGTGATCCGTCTTTCCAATATGGATACTATTTGTCCTTTGTACATCTTGAAAGTAGTCACAATGACAACACCAAGGCAGACAGAACCCAGATGTTGTTGTGGCTATTACTGGACACACAAAACACGCTTACATGCCTGTCTTCTCAAGTTTAGTTCCACAGTGTCCTGCTTTTTGGGTGACCTTGGTTTGTTTTGGAACTTCTTCAATGCCTCTCCAGAGGATACAACCAGGAGAGCTTCGGAAACCATTGTCACATTTTCTCTCTTGTGCATGTGGGTTCTGGTCATCCCTAAATATGATGAAAAACATAAATAAAAGCTTCATACATTATCACTTATGAAGGTTTCTGGTGACTTCTGCAGAGGAAATTACAATATCGGTACTGTGAGGGAACTAATGACTGACTAGCTCTGTAATTATTTGTTGTTTAGTCTGGGTTTTGGGGTTTTTGCAATCTTCGTTTTTGAGGGCTTTTTATCTGATGTTTTCTTTTTTCTTTTTTTTTGGTTTGTTTATTCGGGGTTGCCTTGTTGCATTCAATCTTGCTTACTGCTCTCCCCTCACATCTGGCTCTGGGTTTTAATATCTACACACACATTCCCTTAATCAGGATCTCCTGCCATAAATACATGACCTTGTTTCCCTTTGCAGAGTTTCAGATCCTTGTCTTTATTTTCATAGTAGATTTTTTTAAGTTAACATTAGCTTTGTGTGATCTACCTCCCTAGAGCATCAAATCACTTTTACATATTCTCTAAGACACATCATATGCTGTACTTTAAATGGTTTAACTAGTCAAATTAAATAAAAACTGTGTTGCATTGTCATCAATCTTCTTTTGTTGTATTAAGTACATCTGGTCCTATAGCATCACATTTAATCTTAAGTATAAATATTATTTGATTTCATTGCTAATTATTTTGAGGTATGTCCAATTATTCATGTTTAAAATTTATGAATGAGTAGGCATAACAAATTCTCACGACAAGTTAATAGAAGTAAACAAGTTATCACTACTCTCCCATAACTGTGCAAGTAGGAGTTTTATTGGAGTTTTTATTTAAAGTAAGACATTATTATTAGAAAATTATGCCAGCTCATATAGTAGCATCTTCTTTTGTGAGTACTTATGAATCATAACGTGGTTAATTTAGAGTCTGTTTTGTTAAAAATCCTGGAAGTTGAGTTCCCTATAAAGTTTGACACTGGTTTTACAAATGTGGGGGGACAGCAGAAATGGTAATCTCCAAATCCCAGACTTTCACTTGTGAAAACCTGCAACAAGGATCTAATTACTAACATTGTAGCACCACTATCTGTGTTTAGGCATTCTCCACAGTGTTCTTTTTCTCCGATAAGAGCAGAACCTACGTCGGAATTACGTCTAAGGAGCCATCTGTTTGCAGCCGAATCCCCTTGTTTGTATCAAAAGTCTGATAAGACCTCAGCTGGTATCCCCTTTGCATTTGATCACCACTAGCAGGCTGCCATGGCTTTAATGTGCCCCAGTAAACTAAAAGGCTCTGTGGAGTTTCAGCTTTCTTTTCAAGATAAATATATTGAAAAATAACCTGAAGAAAATTGCAGTGGTTGCAAATTATTGAACCCAAAATATTAAATGTTAAAGTAATGAAATGTTGCTAATGGTTCAATGGAGAATTCTATGAACTCTGCTCAAAACTATAGAAGAGTACTCATGCAATTTTGTAATCCCTTATCTGTTACTCATGCTTTTTTGTCTCATAAGGAGATTTCTACATGTAGTGGGTTCAGAAAGTATGCAGACCCCTGTCAAAATTTCACTCTGTTATTTTGCAGCCATTTGCTAAAAATCAATTCAATTAATTTTTTTCCTCAATGATGTACACACAGCACCCCACGTTGACAGAAAAACACAGAGTTTTTCGATAGTTCTGCAGTCATTTTAAAAAAACTAACTGAAATATCACATTATCATAAAGTATTCGAACCCATTTGCTGTGACACTCATACATTTTATTCAGGTGCTTTCGTTTCTTCTGATCATCTTTGAGATGGTCCTACACCTTAATTGGAGTCCAGCTGTGTTTGATTATACTGATTGGACTTGATTAGGAAAGCCACACACCTGTCTATATAAGACCTTACAGCTCACAATGCATGTCAGAGCAAATGAGAATCATGAGGTCGAAGAAACTGCCTGAAGAGCTCAGAGACAGATCACAAGGCACAGATATGGCCATGGTTCCAAAGAAAATCTCTGCTGTACTTAAGGTTCCTAAGAGCACAGTGGCCTCCATAATC